AGATCTAAACGTCCGACATAAATTGTTCCTGACACGCGCCGATTCGTCCAACAAACCCAGATTCGGTCGCAAAACGATCTCTATTTCGTGATACTCATCATGAAAATTTACACTAGCAGTTAAGAAATTTATAGAAGCAATCGGATGATGTTGATTATTACCTGAAAGTCGTTTTGAATACGGTAGCACTTTAGAGATAGCGACTACAGCATCCATAGATGACGTGAATAGCGACAGCTCTGGAGTACCCTTTACTCGAGGATCGATCGGTAATATGTAATGCTCTGTCTGAGTAGGTTAATAGATCTTACGTGGGTGTTTATATTGCGTCGCTCTTGTCATGCTGAAGGAAATAGTGCCATTTATGCGCGCGTGCGGGTCTATTAGTTTGCTAATAATAGCTCCTGTACATTGTACTATTATATTCGTGGCATCTTCGTAGCTTCGCGAACGGTGTAAGACAATTTGTAAAAGAGCGTTGGATACTACGTATATTGATGAGCACATATCGCACGTATACTAATAAATGTAATTACGAGAAGATATATACAAGAATCGTGTCGAGATTTATTACTTCGCTAAAAGTGCATGCGTGCATGTGTCAGCGTATAACGCGCAGAAGGCATCAGAAGAAGTCTGCAAACGGTCGTCTCGCGCGATTCCAATTTTATTCGCCTGACATATTCCCGGCTGTGATAAAGATCATCGTATTCGCCCCGTCCTTTTCGTGCACCTTCCCCTCGGACGACTGTTGTCATTTTCACTCGAGGTCGCATCGCGCGAATAACTTCTTCATAATCATCGTGAGTAGCAGGCGGAGATTATTAGCGGCGGGAACAGGCTAACGAAATGAGACGATGACCGTGCACATTTCAAAGATCCGTGGAAGTGGGACGGGCAAAGGGCACATTAGAGGGGTTTTTTTTTCGAAGAAGTCCGAAATGCGGCCGCTGCAAAGGACGGTAAGTAGGTAAGTAGGTGCAAGGAGATGCTACTGTTTTTTTCGTTAACGTCGTGTCGTCACACGTCGCCGGACCAGCCGCCTCCGCGATTTTGATTGCGATTTCTTCGGCGAACAATGGTACATACATCGCGAGCGTCCGTACAATAACGTGTTAATAACGCTTTCCACGATGAATTTAATCGCTCGGTTAACGTTTTACCGCGGTAACAGACGGACTGGACGATGGGCGTTAGGCCTTAATAGATACAGGTTTCACTCATTAAGGTGAGATTTTCTGTCGTATATACAGAGTTGGGCGAAACTCGATTTACGGCGTGCCGTTACGTACGCTGTTTGTGTATCTACCAGTTGCACGCGCGGGTCGAGACGATGAAGCGTGGTTACGAACTTTAATTAAGAAAAAAAGAAAAAAAATAGGAGGGAACTAATTATGTGCATTAAACTACGAAGATTGGAAATTATGATAACGTAAACGCGAGTGCACTCGGGATGTAATTATTTCGTAGAACGGTTGTTCGGAGTTTATTTACAGTCGATTAGCGCGTAGCAGCCGCGCCCAAAAATTAGTAGAACGCTACTCCGCGTGGCATTCCCCGGAAAAAGTATTACGAAACAATGCGAGGCTAAAAGCGTAAAGTTCGTCCGCGATAAATTAATCGGCGCTACTTAAAATCACCGTCGCGTTACGCGCGTGTCGCGCTAAACTTTCTCGTAGCACTCGCCGCGCATAAGTTGCCTGAGAAATTGCTGAGAAACGGGAAAGAATAAAAGCATCAGCGATTTGCTTATGAATGAATCCCAGCAATTAACAGAAACACAGCTGACGGCACGGCTTTCCTCGTCACCCAGGGGGTACCGTGCCCGGACGCGTTCCCGTTTTTTTACATGGCGGGAATCCCCAGGAGGCCTACACCATGCCACACGTTTAGAGACGTGTGGAAAATAATATAGACAGAAGAATAATAAACCCTGAAATAGGACGTTATCATTTGCGATGTAAACGTGCGACCGCGCGATCTGAAAGTTTTATTTACTTGTTGTTCGGATTCGCTGTAGTTTCAAACTGAGCTGTCAAGATAGGTAAGATTAAACCGGTGAATTCGCGGCTTCTTTGCACGTATTATGGAAACAACGAAATATTTTCCGATCAGAATTGTTTAGTTATTTCCTAAATGAAAATTTAGGAAATAACTAAACAATTTCGATCGGAATCCATCCCGAAAAGTTCTGCAATACGTGTCTTGTACACAGAACGTAGAAACGCCGTTAAACCAATAAATTCGTGACGATCCCAAATACGACCCCGTCAATTCTTAAGTTTCTTTGACTACGTTTACACCCTGCATTTAGGCCGCGGTCTATACTTCAAATTCGATCTGAATTATTTAGGTTGCCTACTCTGTAGCGAAAACAGAAGAATTATGTGTCGTACCTATTAAATTGTTATTCTATTGTCATATACGATTAACCGTGGATATGTGCAAAGCCTCGTAAGAATATTCATATTTCTGACATGTTTCTTATGTCGCTTGTAATTGATCGCTCGTGAACGATACTGGCAGACACGTATCTTTTTCGTGAAAAACTTAGTAGCAATTGCTCTCATACGATAGACTGACGTGCCCAAATTTCAATTATTAATTATATGATGATCTTAAATTCTCTAATATGATCGAATAAAAAGTGTTATATAAGATTTAAATATTTTATGTATTTACAAAAAAGATCAGAACTTAAAAGATGTTAGTTTTATAATTGTAAAAGCACGCGTTTAAAAACGAAGTTAGGCTCATGTCGCCCTGTATCGCGATAGAAGAAGAGGATCATATTTACCGTATTCCTCGCAAAAAAAAAAAAAAAATCGTGATGCCATGTTGGCGGAAATCGTGCGTGCACATGCCTTTCGACGTTAATGATCCGGCTAAACGTAATTTTGCCGAAGAGTTTATGTTCCGTTTTTTTTTTTTGCATATTGAAACACTGTTACCGAAAACGCTCACTCCGAGGTAGATACCGTCGTACATCGTGCACGCTCGATTTTTACGCTGCCGGGATCGTTCATAGCGGAACAAATGGAAAACCTTACATTACTACGACCGATAAACTCCGTGTAATATCGGTGTATCTTATATACGCTAAGCACTTATAACCCAATGGATGTAATACCTCTCCGATGCTATCTAATGTACAGACCAATATGAAACGCAGTCGCCGATAACGCGATCGAGACTAGGGGTCCGTGGTGCGCGATAAACCGATCACGTGAACTCAAGAGGTGCACAAGCTCTACCGGAACGGAGCCTTATATATCCTGGAAGTTATTGATCATCCCTTTGCTTCAGTCAGGTCAGGTCGGTCGTGCCCGGTGCACGTGCGCAGATTCTTTCCGCCGCGATGCCGAAGCGCGGAAGCGCTACCTGCGGTTGTGTCTTATTTAACGCTTTTTAAGGGGATTAATTCATCGTAGTATACAAACCAATTTTAACAAATGAGCTATTCTTAAACATTTCGTTTTAAGACTGATATTGATGTTGCCTAATATATATATAACGATTTTTATTACTTGGGCATTATTATTGAAGATATATTGCATATATATATTGAAGATTTGTCGAAGCGTATTTATATAAAAATCTCGAAAATACAGTTTATAGTTTATTAATTATTTATTGCTTTGGTTATTTCGAAATCTATGCAGAAAGTTGTCACAAACTGTTATATTGAGTCTTTGAGAGGTTAATTTTTTTGAACTCTAGTGAGTTCAATTATTGATGCTGTGATGAAGATATACTCTCTATTCGTTATGTTTTTATCGGCACTAATAAAAGTGAAAATCATACGTTTCGAGAATTAAACTCACGAAAAGTATGGTGATTTTTATCTATATTTTTAGATTTACTTTCTTTTTAAAATGTTATACGTGCTAAAAAATAATTTCACTTAGACGATAAAAAATAATGACTAAAGAAAATCTGCGGAACATCTGAAAAGCGCATAAAAGAAGATTTGTAAGATTAGGACGTCTGTTAGACGTCTGTTAAACTTTCACGTTGCTGGGAAGCGAAAACGAGTATAATTGCGGTCATCATCATCTAAAATGAATACTCAAGTTACATTGTAGATATAAAGTTCGTATCTCAGGTTCTACATAACTGAAACCGTTTTAAAACTGTCACATTGTTTCTTTCCATAATAATTAACCAATTAAAATATAACCAATGCCCTCATGAATATAACTTTATCTGACTAATGATTTTTAAAAACTTTTCTGCAATGTATGATATGATAGCATTTCTTTATATTTGCCAGTCATATCTTATATTTTCAATTGCTTTAAGAGACACAGAGAACTTCAGTATTTCATATTTTTTGCTGATTTAAGAGATATGGAGGAGAATCATGTATCTTTAATAAGCTAAAGATATTCTTCATCAATTCTTCTGCATTTTTCATTGATGTGATTGTGAAAATTTTGAAAACTGTTATTTTTTTATCTTAAAATCAGAGATAAGTAACATAACTGTATATGACTAATCTTGTATATGACTGTATATGACCAATTCTAAAATCCTAAAATATTATTACATGGAATAAAGGAAGTAGTAAATGAACGGATATAAATAATGATAGTGCATACATATTTATGTGAGTATATCTTTTTCTATTTATTAACGTAATCATTCAACGAAAATATAATCCAGAATTTTATAAAAGAATAGTCGATCGCTAAAAAATATTTGCAAATATTAATTTTGTATTTATGTTAATATTTTTGAATATTTAATTCAGAAATATTTGATTAATTTTATTATATTCCGATATACTTTTCATTGTTTGTAATCATTAATTTCTTTTTGTCTTTTTTTCTACGTTATATATAAATTTATTTGATTTCATATCATTTGGTTCAATGCGAATAGTATCAGATATTCGATGTTTGTAATTTATAATAATAAATATATTTTTAAATTAATATGACTATATATATCACATGTCGGTACTGCGGGAATATAGTAAACATTTCTCAACTCACACAATGGTTAGCACAGTGTTGCTAGATGGCAGAATACGCGACTTCCAGTTGTTAGTAGTCGACCACAGTGTCGCGGAAGGTGCTGCGCAATTTTGTGCTGTACTTAGTATTAGTCCAAGAAAAATATTACATCTGTGTAATAATTCACATATCAATAGACCATTGGATATCAAAAAGAAGATCAAACGTACTCGATATCCTGAATACAGTATCTGCACCAGCAACAGACGCCAAAAACGTTTTAATAAGTACTACGTATGTGATATTGTGTACTGATGGTGCCTGCTTTTTACAGAATATGATATTTTCAGCCACTAGGTGGCGATAGCAGAATGATAATTTAGATAATCCAGCTCTGTATCTTGTAGTACACAGTATACAGTGCACTACAGTATCTTGTAGTATATAGTATACTGTACACATTACAATATACATTGTGTAATATATAGTATAGCATATTATAATATAGCATGGTACAGAGTGTATGTAGCATACTATAGTATAGAGCTAATATGGAACTCGCTGTAGTATACTATAATAAACAGTTAGTATATTATAACAATCAAGTTATACTTACTGCTATAAATTAATAACTCTCTTTGAAGACAATATTTATTGCTTTCAGGACATTACATATCTTAACGAATTAGTACTGAAACATATGAGCGCAAAAGCAATCAACAATGTAAAGCGATAATATAACAACTAGATGATCGATAATTCTTTGGTACAATAAAATGGGGAAAATGAAGAAACTACCGAGGCCATTTATAAAAATCAAGCGTCTTTCGAGAAGGAAAAAAATGATTCTACTGAGTCACGAAATTAAGAAATATGCACACTGGAAATGGGAACAGGACAAAATGCACGCTAATTTGGAGGCCACAATAAACTTTAATATGCTAAAAATTGCGGCAGACCCGCAAATGGACATAGATTACGTAAGAAGCATGTCATTGATGTCAATTTATGATCGTAATTACAGAAACCCCATACAAGAAAACATTTTCGAAGATTCTGTGCATATCAGATTCGATGTGATGCATAACTTGAGTAATTTAAGTATCGACGACGGAAGTGAAGGCACTTGTAATGTAAATACGCCGCAGCAGGACATCGGATCAGATATTTTACAGAAAGCTTCTTTCCTTCATATAAGCGACAGTAATGAGCCAAATATATATGACAGAATAAGAAATATTGTTATGTCATAGAATGTAAACAAAATAAGGTTGTTTTAAAGGAGATTATATATTTATTATATGTATATTTAGTACAAATAAGTTATTTATATAAATAAGATACATGTAACATATAATAAATAAAATGTAATTTATATAATATATTTAAAATATATATGTACATACATAACATATATATATTTTATATATCTATAATATGCTTATATGTATTTTATAATTTTTTATAATTTTATAACACAACATTATGCGACATAATCTTATATTGTATTAACTCTGCGAAAATGATATAAATATTTATTCTAATTATTTACACTAGAAGATATATTTAATAATTACAATAAATATTATAATAAATTTTTCATTGTTTATCGAAAAGCACTCTTCCCATAATTTATATTATTCGAATTTTTTCAAAATATAATTCACTATGGTAATAAATCCATATCAAAACATGTATTTTATCGAAATTTACTTATATAGAACAACGAAAACTCAGCATAAAATAGACTTCTTTTAATGTCACTTCTAAGATATATTGGCTTTAAATGTTTTTGTTGTACAAAATACACATAGAGAATTACGCGATAAAATTTTTATCGTGACATAAAAGTGACATTAAAAAATTTTGAACTTTGCTATAAATATTCTCATAAACTAACCCATAAAAAAATCGGAAAATTTTTTCGTTTTTTTTTATGAATAAATTTTCACGTAATCACATTATTTATAAAAAGCTTATATTTAAAATTTTATGCAAATTTTAACATCTCTGATTCTCTTTAACAATCTCTTTAAGCAATTAAGTTTCATGAGGTAGATGAGCAACTTCTTCGCAAAGAAGTATATCGGGTTGCCTAGCAATACGGATTACGAACTGATGAGATACACGGCCTTGAGCTATGTGGAGCATGTTCCAATTCAACTGAAGTATGAAAATGCGGAAGGAATGTTCGATTAACCACACGCTTTGATCTATTTTTTATTTAATCTAAATAGTTCAGAATTTCGATAACTGTATCTTGATTAGTTTATCCTTAGCTCTAAAATAGCCTAGATATTTCATATATTTTTCTTTAAAAAGATTTATATTTTATTTCTTCAATTTGAACAAATTTAAAATATAATATGTCAGAAGAATTGCTGCAAATCTTATACGCTGCAGACTTCATACGTCGACAAGAATTGGATTTCTTCACTTTATGTACTCGCAGAAATTTACATAAGCAATAGTGACAGATTTTATGGCAACTTATATTGTTGATGTATTTATATTTTTTTAAAAGAAACTTTTGCACCGTGGGCTCACGCCGTGCCCACGGCCGAGGTGCTTCGATGCAACTCGATGCGCCAGAATCGATTATACAGTAAGGTTGTTATCGAGGTTTCACGTTTCGGCTTGAAGCCGTACTGCACTATAGTTATAAAGTACCGGTTTTTGGACGTTCCATACTGAATAGCACCATCATCATAAAAATCATAAATTATAATCTCGTTAGAATATAACTCGTGTGATAGGTATATATTCCGATATTTGACCCTTAATCTATTTGCTCATGGTGATTACATTTATTCTGAATATAGTGGGGTAAAAAGTGTTGTTCTGAATCAAACAAAATTGCAATATTCTTTTTTTATAAATAAATATAAGGTAAAACTAGTTATCTACTACTTTGAAACAAATTAAACACCAAATAAAAACTGCATGAAAAAAAGCTTTGAAAATTGCGATGTAAATGAAGTTAATAACTCCACGCGACTAATTACATTACACGGTTCAAACATGATTAAGATCTGAATGTACCGACAGTCCTTGCAACTCGTTGCCAATTCTTTTTTTTTTTTAATTAACGAAGAAAGAAAGCTTAATTAAGCTTGGCTTCGAGTCGACGCGATCGGTTCTATGGGCTAATTGCACTCGGCAGATCTCCGCCTCGTATGTAGAGCGGTCCAAAGAGACGCAGAGAAAGAGAGAGATAACGCGTTGAACCGGTCGGAAGAACGGCCGAACGTTGCCGCGCGCGCGCGGAGCGGAGCGGACGAGATGCAACAAAAGGCACGCTGGGGCCACGTTGGGTCGGGCTTTGGAATGGAACTGGAAACGAAAGGCCTGCAGAGGCACAGGCGGGGAGTGCTGCTTGGATGCCTGGCGCATGGTATACGTGTGTCGATGCAAGTGCGGTGACGGTACACGCCGACCGGAGCGGCCGGAGGAGTCGGTCAGTCAGTCACTCAGTCGCAGTCGGCGAGTCGCTCTCGACTGCGCTGCGCGATCGCGTGGGCGACTTGCTTCTCTCTTCTTCTTATTTTCTTTTTAATCTCCTCCTATTTTGTGCGGTGTTTTAACTTGGTGACGAGACAACTTGACCGGGAAGGTCTCGCCTTCGTCTTTCACCAACAGGATTATTCTGCTTTCGAAGCGGAATGCACTATGTCGGGTGATCTTTGAGGTCCTGAAGGGGAAAAAGTAAGAACCTTTCGTTTATCTTATTTATTATAGAAGAAACATTGTGAGAGAAGAGGATCTTGCAAGATTCGTACGTGAAATTCGCAGCCGGAGCAAGTCGAATCCGACGTTTCTGCAAGATCCGCTTCGTATACAAAATCGTGTATTTAAGATCAGGTCTTAGATCGTGTGTAGAATGAATTCACTTTACTGCGCTGCACATATTGATAATTATAAATGAGAAACATGACATTCCGGATCGTGTTCAGAAAGCAGATTCGAGGGAAACCTCACGACGGAAAATTCATGGGGCGTATCACTTTTTTTCCTTTTTTATTTTCCGTTGAGTAGACGCCGGTGTGATCCAGAACAAACGAGATAAGCACGTCCATGACGCATGTAGGAATTGTAAACTGATGGAATTCCACCGGAATACTTTACTCACCGGTAATCATTTTTACTCAAAATTGTCGTTTCTGTGTGTATAATGGGTACGCTAACGCAATAAGAGAAGAAATGTAGAAAAAATTTTATTAGTGAATTTATATTTCTAAAGTATTTTCTATTATACATGATAGGAAATAATACATGTGTATACAACGAAAGATCGGATATATGTACTTGGGTCATTTATGTACTTAGATTACTTAGAAAATACCTAGAACTAAAAAAATCAATATATCAGATAAGAAAGTAACTTTCAAGAAACAAACATATTTTATAGCTTTATAAATATAAATCGCTGAGAAATGAAGAAACAGCAATAAAAATAATTGGCAAGAGTAACGATAAAAGCAGTTAAAATTTATATTACAAGAAAAAGAATTTAAACTTTGTGAACTAAAAATATGTCATTCATGTTTGTTGAGTTTTATAAAAATACTAAACTAGAAGAATATATCTATTATCGCAAGATTAATTTGATGAGATTAATTCGATAAGATGTCTAATATCAAGTTTTGATTTAACATCATATCCTTCATCGACGTGCAGTTAACTGCACATAAAACTTATTAGAAGCGACTGATGTACAGTAAATTGTACACGTGAATGATTGATGGCCATCTTCTGAATATTCCGCGTTAGATTTTGTATTGAATATGCAAACACGCGATAAAAAGCTATGAAAGGATCTTTGAGCGTTGCCTTTTAATTTCATCGATTATTCTTGGTATTCTTCTTGGTACGTTCAATAACTTCTTTTTTAATTTGCATTGGGATCATACAGTAAGGTAGACAGAATTATTTCTGTCTTTTCTTTTGCCTACACAGAGTTTCCATATATGATATACAGAACATTTGCGTTTTCAAGACTTTACTCTTGCGTGAACAATTAATCTAAATATATTTTTTTAGCCTCTTCAGATTTCACTTCGCTCCGATTTCCCGTTTTGCAAGCATATTTTTTCACGACATACTATTACGTACCTACTGTTCGCCGTTGTGATAAAGTGGCCGGTTAATGTAACGCCACGTGATAAAACTTACAGCTTCTACTTTCGAACAAACCGCGTTCGCGCACGCGATACTCGGTGCGCACGTGCGCCTGGATTTACGCACGAATAAATCCTCAAATCGCTCTTGCGTTTAATGCCACGTTTTGCGCGGCTACCGCGTCATTGTCTCGTATACGATACGTCACGTGCGACCAAAGTCTCCCAGGGTCTCTTTTCACGAAGGACAAAAAACCGTGTACTAACGATCCGTCCACGTTATATATTCATAATTTTCTTTTCGTAATATTCCCTTTACAAAGCCTATTGTTTTATTTCTTACTTGCACTTGGATATATATTATTGAATTAAAAACATTTTTATTCTTCACTTGCAATTGAGAGTGATTCAAAGATATAAAAATAAAGAAACAACCCAGGTTTATTGTGAATCGGAATTTATCCTACGTACTCTGTCATTCACGATGACTCTTGATACGCCTTACTCATTCTTCTTCCGAACAACGCTTGAATTCTCTTTAAGCATAGCTTGCACAATGCTGAACCAAGTCATTATTACCTAATAATAATAGCTCTATTCATAACGTCTCAATTCTATCGGTTAGGATTACTTACGCGTAAGTATAGACCATGAAAGTCCACGATGTGCAAGGTGTCCCTGAAACAGATTGTTAAAGTTTGGAGAGAGAAGCCGCATCATACGAGCCTTGAGAATTAAAATAACATTATTCAATTATATCTCTTTGTACAAATATTTTTTGCCTTTTTTACGGTAGAGTTATTTTTTCTACAGCTCAAACATACTTAGAGAGAGAAATCAAAACAGAGAAACGGTTAATTTATTCTGTTTGCGTATAGTATTGCATAAAAAGTTATTTTTTACACGATAAACGCGGAACGCATAAACTTCAGCTTGACTCATTCTCCAATGGATTTTCACGTGCGCAGTGGAATCGCACAAGTCCTCATTCAGGAGATAGCAGTGCGTCATTTATCAATCTGCGGTTAATCACTTATGTTTACATGCTATTAAACGAGCTCGGAAAATCGTGTTTCCGCAAAAATTATTTCATAGCAGAGATGCAAAATAGCATTTTAACTTGTTTTATCTTCGGATTTTTCTATACCACTCGCCAGGCTCTATGACGATATCTCTCGCAATTATTCAATTCTTTGTTTGCGCGATATCTCCCGTCAATATAAGAACGATTACGCAGAATGCATTCTCGTTCAAGTTAATTTATCCACCAACAAATATTTACGCGCGCAGGCCACTCATTGAGGTTAACACACCGCGATTTGCATTTTAGATCACACACGAATATGTAAGTTTCTTACTCTCGTGATGTGTGACAGTACTTTAGCGGGTAAATTCGGAACGCACGACAGGAAAAAGCGAGCACGTAACTTGTTCGGTCTCTATTCTCTGCATTAGAAATGCGAAGAAACGTTTGCAAATTCCCAAGGTATCGACGTGCAATTGAGAACCAGTCGTGTAAACTGCAAGTGAAAGTATACACGAATAATTGCGCGCAGTGATTATGTTCGAAACCGTTTGCGTCACGTAGAAGCGCCATTGTGAAATTTTTTTGCGTCTCGATATGGAATATTACGTTAGTGTTGCACCGCGACGTCGACCAGGGTGGAATGCTAAGTCTCACGTTACCTGATAGCGCTAACGTAAGGAACATTTCTAACTCCTACATATACACATTCCGACACTCTGGACGTGCCGCAACACCATACGACTCGTTAGACTTCGTCAAAAGGCCTTGAGTTTGGTATATTAATATACGTCAGTACGATTGTTCTGTCTTTGTCTCATATCAACATAATCAAAACGGAAACGAGTCATATCTCTATCCGCAAAATCGTGAGTGTGCGGTGGATTTCGCGCGTCAGCGAAGCAAGTTTCACTTGCTTGGTGTAGAAATCATCGTTATTGAAATAGACGCTTGATGTACTTGCAGTTTAAAAGTCTTAATTCGCGGCATACTTATGGTATTATCGCGCGCGAGCACGAGGACTCCTCCATATCGTTTTACATACGAAATTAACTTCCGGATGTTAGGAGAGAGAAAAGTACATACACACCCGCGCAGTACCGTCGCAATTAGTATCGTTAAAGAAATTAATAATGCATCTGCCGCTCGCGTTTTCAGACTTTCTATATAATTAGCGCAAAATCTAAGTGGCAGTGAGAGCGGGTGATTTATGACTGAAGATAAGAGCGATCAATCGCAGAATCGACTCGTCTCTCCGCAGCGGAAGGTTTCGCGTTGCGCCAAAGGAATTCGCTTTTCCTGCTTTTACGCGCGAGGACGTATCGGGGGGGATCTTCTTTCGTTGACTTAACACTCGGGGTCCGTCGATGAAGAAATGAAAAGTGCAAGCGCCGTGGAGTTTCTCACTGCGGACTTTCAGCCGGAAGCAAAAATAAAATGCACATCCTTCCAATGCACGCCTGCACGCCCCATTGCGTCTCTTGTCGAGATTTTCTACTCATCATCGGGAAACGCCCCGGAAACCGCCGCCGTGCGTAGAAAGTTCGACGCGTTTATCATTGTTTTTATCGCAAACTCGTGTATCATGCACACTGGAGTGAATAGTGAAACCAGAAAGTAAATTTACGCGCTGATTTTGCTAACATTTACCTATTTATGTATTCATATATAGAAATCTAAACTCTTGAAACAAAATAAGATATTATGGCCACGTTGTATATGCCTTAAGAGTTTAAATCAATATATAAAATTATTTTTTGTTCTCTTCCTTGATGCAAAGAACGGTACTTAATTTTATAGTTCTCACATTTTTCTATCGCATGATTTTAACGCATGTGCAACCGTTCTAATAAGAAAAAAAATAGCTACTAGATAATATCTTTTAAGTATGGGTAAAATTTTTAATTAAATGTTTTCGCTGAGTTGTGGTATAACAGTACTCTTATATTTGAATGAGAGATAAATCTATGAATCCATTGTAATCACGTTTTAATTGGGATATTATAGCACCTTTAACATTAGCAAAAGAATTAAATGGGACGGAGAGAGACTCTCGAGCGAGCCTCTGTGGCTGCATTGTTCTTTACTGCTTGCAACTCGCTAAAGACGTGAGAGAATTTGCGCATAGTGAAGAAGAGAAGCATGTACAGTGCTTCTTCTTCTTCAATAAACGAAAGTTGGTACAATGAAGGTGTTCGTTGGAAGGTCCTGATGTTCGTTTGAAGGTTTCGACCGCGAAGAAAGACCCGCCTGTCTGGCACGAACGTAAGCGTTTATTTTCCGCGATAGTGTGCTATTACAAGAACGGGTACTTGTCGCACATATGACGCGAGAAATCATAATGACTGATTAAAATACTGTTGTCTAAATTTTCAATCCTTCAAAACGTTACAAAATTCTTTTGTTACAAAACACTGTTAATATACTTAAAAAATTAATAAATTTAAAAAATTTATTATTATTATATTTTTATATATATTCGTCTAGTTTTATCTTATAATTGATATTTAACACGTCTTTTTGTCATGACAGTCTTTTATAAATATTTAAGACGCATACATAAA